TTTGGATTCCTTAACAATGTTCCAGATTTGAGCTTTTCCCCTTCACACCTCTTCGTCCGATTTCGTTGTAAAGTCCTATCCTTTTGACCTCTTTGAAGACATTATTCCCTGATTTTTATCGAGAGTTTTCTTAGGTGACTTCGGTCATTTGAGATGTAATTAACTATAGGGGCTTGCCCTTATAGGGAGCTTTTCCGAACCCAGCTTAAAATAAACCCTATTTAATTATTTGTATTAAATAGGGGAACTTGTCGGCAAATAAAATGGTTTCGCAGACCCAAACGGACGTCATATCTTTCTTAGTTTATTTGATCGAGCTTCATCCTCAGGTCTTGTGTTTATTCTTCGGGGTAGATACAGGATTTGAGGTAGAGCGCTCTTTCATTTAAACTGTGAAAAATATGAGGTCAGTTTGATTTCGTATTTTTCTAAAATTATATATATATATGTAAATTAAAAAGTCCTTCCGAAGCGGGTGACGGGATTTCGATTCCGGCGGCCGACAGCTTCTTACGGGCGACCCCCAAGCGTAGCAACTTCCCCCTCTTTTTAAACGCCGACAATACACATTTTTTAATATGGCATATTTATTACCTCACTCAAAAAAGCCCATGATGCATCACACATAACAACATTTTTCTTTAAAAATATAGTAATATTGCTTGGCCCTCCCTCCACCATAGCATTGGATGGAGTTATGATGTTTGTTTCTCATTTTTCGAAGACATTATGGAAGAAACAGTACAAAATCAAAAAAATTACACTAATTCCAACCTTGCATTGATGGTTAATGAACGGATTCAATTTATTGAAATGACTATTGAATTTGTTAAGATGCTTAATCGGAAAGAGTTTCAGCAACTGAAATCTTCATATAACTTCTTATTTACTTAGCATAATACTATCTCTAACTATGAGGAAAACATCATTTAAGATAGTATATGGACAAATTTTTTTTAAAAAAACCATTGATATAGTTCTTATTCACAATCATTCATATTTTATTTTACTGAAGTGAGGATAAAAAACTAAAGATAACACAAATAATGCTAAAAAGATAACTTACAAAGATTTTTTAAAAAAATATATAAAAATGATTATACGTTGGTTCATCTTAAATTTTAAGAAATATCTTTCCCCAACAAGCAGGGCTTATAGCACATTCAAAATTATAAAAAAATTTCGATATGATGCGCAGTGTCTTGATTTATCATCAAAGATATTCAGAAGTCTAATTTTTTATATTAAAGATATTATTTCATATGATAGACTTGATCAACCTTCAAGTTATATAGCTAAGTTTTTGGTTTAAAATTTTTCTTACAATGTATAATTCAATATTATAAAAGAGGTGCCTACAAATAAAGTTGATAGATCCCTTATTTTAATTAGATGAAACAATAAACCACATATTATTGACAAATGAGTAGTAAAGTAATCCTTCAAGAAGTTGACACTAAAGCTTGCTAGAGAATACTGGAGACTCAACTCTACAAAGAAGAGAATTTTAAACAGACCCAAGAGACTTGATATAGAACGTCAAGTTAATTTTGAAGGACCCACTATAAGATTAAGATCAAATATTCAACATGAAAATAATAGCTAATATATCGTTATCAAGAAAGTATCAATAAAAAACATTTAAATAGAACTCAAACAAAACTGTATTAAAAATTAAAGTTTATAATTCAAAATATTAGACAAAAAATTTTACATTTTTAAATTTAATTTATTATATTAATATGGAACAATTTGGATGTTTCATTTATTTTAACTCGTTTTAGGGTTAATCAACAAATAATGTGGCCGACCAACTTATGTGAAAGAATCTTCAAAGTAAATTGGGGTAGTTTCATTCTAGTTACTTATTTCATCCTTAGGTTTAATTTTTTATCTCTTTTTTTTTTCAATTGTAGCAACTGATATAATAGCTTAGGTATTACAAAATAATTAAGTAAAAAAAGTTGAGAGAGGAATCTCCAAATTTAAGAGCTTGGTAGCTAACCACACCCCCCCCCCCTTTAGGTTCTTCTTGGCAGAAAGCCTAGGTATTTTTTCTCTTTCAAAATTTATCATTACATATTCTACCACCTTCATGGCATCATCCTTGAGCATTTCCTCAAATCCTGAATGTCAATAAAAATTGCAAACCCCCTCTTGAAGCTATTGCCCAAATTAGTGATCCTCTTGATTTAGTTTTAGTTCTCCCTCCATCATCCCTTAAACACGTTGAATTTTCACCATTTTCTCTAGATCCTTTCCAAACTTTCCATGCAACATTATCCCCTCCACTCACTAAATATTCCAAGTCAAATCACATTTGTCCAAACTAAGCAGCCTTGACCTAGTTTTGTCATTTCCCCATCTTTAGGCATTGAAACCACTTAAAATTTCACTGAACACCTTAGATCACATCTTAAGACATTACCTTAACATTCCCAAGTAGTTTTAAGCCTTGGATAATCCACCATAAAAAATCCTAAACTAAATTCCCAAAGGGAGCTCCACGATTGGCTATGACCTAACCCATTCAAATAGCACCTCAAATAATAGTATCCCAACCACACAAGAATGCATCCATCTCACTTCCACCACAATAAAGGAAAACTATAGATCACCCTATCCCAAGGCCACATCAAAATTTTATATAGATTGACTTATCACGTTACATCTTTGAACTGCAAAACTTGATGTCAAAACTTACAAACCGGTCATAAAAAAAATTGAAAGAAACAAATGATACAATCAAAGATGAGAAAATGAGAGAAGTATAAGTGATGAATGAATCAAAGCAAGGTGAAGAAATTCTACCATGTAATGGAATGGTAAAAATTTTCATTCATTACCTAAATATGAACATAAATTTAGTTGAATGGATGCAAAACTTTATTCTGGTCACAAAAAATATTTATTTTATTATGAAGGCTAGTCCAACTCCTTAGCTTAATCTAAGCAATTTCTCATAATTAGAAGTTTTGAGTATTTCCAGCAGACTAAGCCTAAATGCCACAAAAGATTGAGAAGTTTTAAGTATTTCCAGCAGACAAAGCCTACATGCCGCAAAAGATTATGAAGAGAGTTGAATCATGAAGCATTGCCTCAAGTCTGTCATTATTCCGGAAGAGTCCATGCATGTGACTGTCTCTTAGCAAATTGGTTGAGGTGAGAGGCGTTTTTATCACTAAGGCCGACTCACAAAAAATTATTAGGAGCTTCCTCCCCGCTACCCAGTTTATCCCTTCGTCGAAAATCAAGCTCATGGGTGTCCAACTGAACAATGCTTGTCATCATATCAAGCCAAACTTACACTATTCAGGAGGGAAGCATGGTCGGCACAACTTGATCCAACAATGCCTGATGCCATAGAAAACTCCTCACCATCACAAGGTTTTTAAGTTACGAACTTTCATTAGTCGATTCTGAAGAAATTTTGGGATGCTTAGAAATGCATCAAACAGGTCTGATTTCATATGTTGTAACTGCAACAAAAATTTTACTATAATCGACCGCATCAATCAATAATATTCCAACACCATAAATCTCCGCTCCAAAAGATACAAATCATCAAGAAGAGATTTCGGCAATCCAATCAAAAAATTTTCAATGCCAGCCCCATAAAAAAAAAAAAAGCTCTCCCCAAGCCAAACAGATGCACCCATAGTATTTTAATCATATCCCCTTCTCTTCAATGAACAAATCAAAACATAAGAAACCCCCAATCGCCTCTTCAAAAGTAAATCCAAAATAGAAATTAATCAATCCTGAACAAAGAAAAAGAGAAACCAAGCTCGCAGTTCTAGTTTCACCTCCAATAACATCCAAATGCCGCCATAGACTTCTGCTCCCATATACGCAAACACGCAGACAGAAATCCAACAATTCACCATACCAAAAAAACAGATCAAAGCAAATGAAAACCTAAATCACAGCCTCAAACGCACTTCAAAAAAAACAATGAAGCTAGATAAAAAAGAGAAACGAAGATTACCAGTTCCCACTGCGTCCTCGAGTCCGATTCCGGGCGCCTGTTGTGCGAGGAAAACCCTAGAGAAGAAGAAAACGGAAATATGAGGCTGAGTACCCTGCGGTGGAACGTCGAAACCTCCGAACTCTCGCGCACCCTTCGCGATCCACAACTAGGTTTATATAGGGACGCGGTGGGAAGTTATCGTCTTCTTCGGCTCAACAGTTCCCACGTGCTTAGAAGATTTTCGAGTTTCCAACATTTATCTATTTATTTTAGATTTTACATAAAATTAATCAAAATATTAAATATAATATTTTTACTATTCAAACTCTTAATATAACATTCTTTCAATTACAGACGGGTCGAGTCGAACTCGAGTGAATTTTAGGTTGAGTTTGAGCTTGAGCTTGAGCTCGAGTTTAAGTTGAGTTTGAGCCAGTACACGAGAATAATTAGGTGGATGTGTGGCTTTACACTTGGAGATAATGCGAAATGAATATATATGTGATAGGATAGGTGTAGCTCCAGTGACCGACAAATTTAGAGAGAGTCTTCTTAGATGGTTTGGTCAGATTAAACATTGACCATTTAATGATCCGATTAGAAGAATAGATGTTTTAGATTCGACTTATGTTAAGAAAAGTAGAGATAGACCTAAGATGCTTGGGCATATTAATGATCTTAATTTATTAGAAATTATGGGTGCTAGAAAATTATCGACGGTAAAGTAACTGATTAACTTCTTAGCATTGCATGAGAATTCAACACACACTCAGACTAAAAGAAAAGCAATCATTTATAACATCGTAAAGGGAAAAACCACGAGGTTTGGTCCAGCCGTAAATATCTACTATAGATTGATGATTACAAAGACCTCCTGTACCGCTGAAGGGAAATAGTTACTAGATTTTCCTAGTTCCAACGTCGAATGACAATATTTGGTTGGTGACGATTGACGATGATTTGTAGTGATTGACGGTGGTTTGCGGTGGTTGATGACGTTCGATGGAGGTCAATAGAGGTCGGTGGTGGTTAATAGAGGAATGATGCTAAACTTCAAGTTCTTCTCAAAGCCTCAAATTTTCTCTCAAAGCTCAAGCTCTCCTATGAAATGAGAGGGACTTTATTTATAGTTTTATTGGTGCAATTAATGCAAGAATATGAATCATTTTGATGAGACGGTCGGGAGAGCTTTATTTAATTAGACGATATTTAATACACATTTGGGTGTCTTAATGATGTCAGAATTGATTGATATTGAGCTCGTTAGATTCATCTTGTCTAGACACTCGATTTGACTATGAGCTAGCCATAATCGGTATACGTTTGACCTTCCAAATGTGTCTCGAAATCTTCCAATAATGATTTAATGATTTTATCCACGCTTGATTTGACTCGAATTGAACTAACTTTGATATCATTAGGTTCATCTCATCGAGACGGTCAGTTTGACTATAAGTTTGTTGAAATCAGAGCTCTGTATGATTTTTTTTATCGAGATTTGAATATTTCTTGTTCAAAATATTATCTCGAGATCCGTGCAATGCCCCGAAATTCGTATCGGATGATAAAAATTTGTTAGTGGGGTATCAAGAATTAAATGAAACTATGACACTAAATAGGAGCAATGGAGAAAAAGGATTCATGTAACCAACCCCACTTAGTGGGAAAAAAATTTTGTTCTTGTTGTTGTATATGCATAACGCTTAAATTTTTATTATTATATTAAGAATACCACAATTTATGACCTTTAATAGTTAAATACATATTTCAATGCATAAATTTATGGCACTAAAGTATTAAAAATATAAATATGGAACCTCAGATATTAGATTTGCAAATATATCAAATTTATCTAGTTTATGCGTAAAATTTCGCATACATAGCACTTTATCACACATAGCATTTTACCTATGAATGAGAAGAGGAATTCAACCGTCAAAATGTGATAATGAGTTTGATTTTTCATATGACGTTTATAATTATTAAAGTTTAGTCTGAGATAGTTAAATATGAAAGTTTTGGATGCTATGTATGTAAAAGCCATAGCATTTGACTATAACTTCGTCAGATTTCAAATCCATTTGTTCTTCTAATCGAACACCATAAGCTTCCATAAGTGGTTCAATCACTATATGAGTTTAATCTGACTCAGGTTGGACCAACTTTGATGTCATAGTATTCGTCTCGTTGAGCCGGTCATTTGACTTTAAATTTGTTGAGATAAATAATCATATGTCAAGATTCGTGCCAAATCACAAATTTTATTGATAGCTTATCATTGTCATTTAAATTATATTAAAATAATTTTAATAGTTATTAAATCACCAAGTCTTTTATGACTTCATCAATCATCCAGTTGGCACAGATAGCTATGATTTTATAATAATTAATTTTCAATTATATATGTTGTCAATACATTATTTTGTTGAATTTTTTTATGAGAAATAATTAGATGAGGAGGATGATATAATTAAATTTATAATTATTTAATTATTTTAAAAGAAATATAATATATGAATAATTCATTTTTATTATAATCACCTTAAAAAAATTATTAATTATATATAATTATTTTTAAAATGCAGTTGGTGTCAGTTGGATTTAGATGGCTTTTAAAAAATTATTGATATTATTTTATTTTCTTAAATTAATCTAAAGGCATTAAATAAAATATCATTACTTTGATTAGATGGGGATTGCGGCAGTTCCAATGTGGCCCACCACAATTAAAGCCTCATCACATGGCTTGTCTTCTAAATATTCATTTACTAAATTTAAATTTAAACATTATTTTTGAGACCCATTTGAGAAAAAAAATATTTTCACGTTCGGACGACTAACTACCGACGGTCATGTTATTTGCCGATTATGTGTATGACAATGTGGCAGCCGATGATTAATCGTCCGAACGTGCGGTGTCTAGACGAAATTTTTTCTCTCATTTGAGTAATATTTGTGATATGTCATTACATGAGATTAATCACTCTAGATTTATGAAGAGTGAATTTTTGTAACCTCACATATGTAGCGAATTATTTTAATTAAATAAAAAATATGATTTTTCATTTTACGAATGTAATCATCTGACAAGATTATTTCAGGAATACTTCATAAAGAGCCTTATGGAGGAAAATCAAATTATCCGTTTATCGAAGTGGTTGAATAGAACCCACCTGCTAATGTAATCGAATCAAACTAAACCAATGGGGAAGACCATCATTACTCGCAATGGACATGTGTCAGTCCTCACTTATGGTGGCGCCAAACACTCCATCTCAATATTTTCACCAAGACATTGCGAACGAACATTATAACGTACATAATTTAAATTTATATTTCTTTTGGCTCATGCATAATGGAAGTGATAAAGGCTTGTAAGAAGTTTTTTTTTTCCTTTTCCTCTTTGAAGGACCTCCAAAAAGGATATCACACACACGCACATACTCTTCCTCTCTCTTTCTCTACGAGAGAAACACAGATCCTTCCATCATCTTCTTTATAGCTTGCTTCTAAATACAAGCTTTTCACTGGATTGTACGAGTTCACGAACAATACGGGCTACAAGTTCCTTTTCACTATCACAAGTTTCTTAGCACGCAGCAACAATGATGATTCATGTTATAATAAATCATAAAATGTAGCCTTTAATAATCTTGATTTAATTATATATAATTACATTTCATCAAGAGGATACATTTCCTAAGAAAGGAAATAAAGATAAGCACATATGATTTCTTTTATGTAATAAATTAGTCAAGTATGGTAAAATGTTAGGAACCGTTTAAATTTGTTTAATTTATTATTTCTTTTTTTTTTAATCTACAAATTTATATTTTAGTTGAGTATAAGAAAAATTTATTTATAAGATCTATAAAAAGTGATAAAAATAAGTTTCATAAGAAAATTTTCAACATACATAGTGATTATATCCATTTGCATTGATGTCAAAATTACATTAGAAGGTTGCTTTAAGAGAGAAAGCAAAGCAAGTTACTTATATTTGATTTATTTATATTAATTTAAAATGTATTTTATTGAGTTAATAAGTTAAAAAATTTGAATGATTACCTAAATTTTCATAATTAAAGGTTATTAACTACTGAATTCTTTTAGAACATATGATCTCATATCGTTCGTGAGTACATGCAACTGGGTAAAAGACTTTTGAGGGAATCTTAGAAAATATACTAATTTCAGATCTCTGGCAACTTGGAGGGAGGCGACTCCTTGGAGGTTCCCTGATTTAGGGAATCTTAAAGAGAGAGAGAGAGAGAGAGAGAGAGAGAGAGAGAGAGAGAGAGAGAGAGAGAGAGAGAGAGGGAAGAAGAAATGGAGATAAAAAACAATCTCCAAAGAAGAGAAAATCTATTAAATAATCAAAGTAGTATATTTTGCATTGTACGTTGCTTCTCTCCAATATCATTTATAGGACTTCAATAAATTTTTATCATCAGTCATGAATCTCGAGTCATGACATGGATCTTGAGATAACTTTTGAGTAAGAAATATTAAAACATCGAAAAAAAGTCATCCAAAGTTCTGATTTCAGCAAACTTACAGGCAAACTGACAGGCTCCACGAGACGAACCCAATGATATCATAATTAGTCTAATCCGAGTCAAGTCAAGCTCAGATCAAATCATTAAATGACTCTTAAAAGTTTTTCAGACATATTTAGAAGATTAAACAAATGTTGAATATGGCAAGCTTATGGTCGAATCGAGCGTCTCGACAAGATGAATCCAACGAGCTCATGATTGCTCAATTCTGATATCGTTGAGACACTCAAATGTACATCAAACGCCATCTGATTGAATGACGCTCCCCGGACCGTCCGATCAAAGTGGTTTATATTCCTGCATTAATTGCACCCAGAGCACTATAAATAATGTCCCAACCCTCTAATGAGGAGGAGAGAGTTTGAGATCTGAGAAAGAGCTTGAAGCTTTGAGAAAGAGCTAAAGTCCAACACTACCACCGTCAACTGTCACCGAAAGCTACTAACCTCCGTCGACTACCGCCAACCGTCGTGGACTTTTGTCGATTGTCGTCAACCACCGTTAATCGCCTTCGACCACCATGACCTCCACTAACCATCGTCGATGATCTTCAAACACCATCAACTTCAGTCGACCACCGATGACCATTGTTATCATTGTCCGCCTCCATCGACTATCGTCGATCGTCGTCGATCACCGCCAACCACTGTCGATCACCGTCAACCACTGTTGAACACCACCAACTGGACGACGTTAATCAGTATTTATCGTCACTTGTTCGTAGTAACAAATTCATCAACACGTCGACATTATAGCTTGAGAAACCTAATAATTGTTTCCTACATGTGGGAGAAGTAATTGTAATTGTAACTATCTTTTTATAGTAGAACTCTTTAGCTGGGTCAAGTCCCGTGATTTTCTTCTTCCTGGGTTTTCCACGTAAAACTTATAGTGTCATTATTAGTTGTTTCTTTTTTTCTGAGTGTGTTGAATCTTCGTACCATGCTAACACGTTAATCCACTACTCTATTGCTGCAACTTTTGTAGCTCATGAGATAAAGAGTGTGATGTGGATGTCAGGTATTGTCGGTTGATGTCAAATATTACCAGTTAATATTAGCTATTGTCGGTACACCAGGCACCACGACACCCAGGTAAAAATATAGAATCCCAAATGTTGTGTGACATCTTTAAAAAAGGAATCCACGAATGTCCTTGTAGTCATACTGACTTCTTTTAATAGTTCTCCTAGCCCATGCTGGTTAGGTTAACATTTCGAGAAAAAAATGATACTAACCAGATTTCCAGACAAGTTTGTTTTAGCCCTTTCAGTAGGTGGGCTCAGTTAAGTTTAACCACTTCGACAGATGGACTTAATTCAAGTCTACTTTTTAATAATTGAATTTTAACAAAAAAATTTGTATACTCATACTTAGTTTACATTAACAAATAATTTATTGGTCTAAATAAAATATAGAATATACTTTGAAGTTGTCTTTTTTGTTTTGAAGGATTTAATAAATCCGGTACTAAATTTCTTCTTTGGAAGGATTAAAGTCAGAGTGGGACTGAGCGAGAGTGAGCTCAGTAGGGGATGGTGGAATGAAGCAGATGAGTCGAATTTCGAGGGGACATCTTCCGGCGGGAGCGGCGCCGCTACCTTCGGCGCTGCTCCGGCGGGGAAAAGCGCTCTCCGGAGTTCCATCCGGCGAAGGCGAAGAGATCTCGGATCTGATCTCAAGGCCGCGCCGGGGCTACTCGGTCTCTTCTTATGGCGAAGCTGATGGTGAGCGCATTTTCATTCTCGTTTGTATTCTCCCTTATTTCAGTTGTAGTTGATTTAAGATTCAAAATGTGGGAGGATTGATTTGAAAATTAAGGATCGGATCAGTTTTTCTTAATCTTTGATCTATTTTGCTTGTTAGTTCTGATATTGGCGTCGTTTGGTAGGGTTCAAGTGAGCTGGTTGATCTTGTTAGAGCAAGAGAGTGGTTAGATCTCAATGAATCTTTTAACGAGTTTATTTAGAAGAAATTCGGTCATATTCTTTTGAACAGAGAAGCGCAAGTTGAACTTAATTAGAGAGTATTTCTGAGAGTTTTAATGGATTTCTTGTAATGTTTCCTTGTGAATTTTCTTATTCTCTGGGCGAAATATGAGTCTTGCGGGTGATTCAACAATTGGTACTCATGGCCGACTTAGAGCTGACCCGACTCATCCCAGCTGGTGAAGATTTTGCACAAGCTTCGAGTTATAGGGGGGTTCAAGTTGGTTCTTTATGAAAGATTTCGTGAAGCGGACTAATCATAATAGTTTGATTACATTATCCAAACAAATATGGGTATACATTGAGATTTTAACTTGGAATTTGTAAATTTTCTGCTGAAAAGTCCTGTTGATCTGCTCTTGGAATGCGTATTGCTCGCTCGTTCATAAATGAATATTTGCTACTGTGATTTGCAGTTTCTTTTCTACTATTTGAGCTGCTAAATTCACGATATTTGCAGTGCTGAATAGAATGGAGAAGAAGGCATCCGTTGGAATGGCTAAAGCAGGGAGGAGCGCCGCAGAGGAATTCTTACCGGTGGAAATTGGAAAGCATGACTATGATTGGTATCATCCAAACTTTATCTAGATATTTTGTCCTATATTTTCTTAATCTTGAGTTTTAATGTTTAAAAGTTATTATTTTGGAAACACTGGCATTCCAACAGATGTGCATTTGAAGTCAAACAACGTGTGCATTGACTTTAAATGTGTATGTGCAGTTCTCATGCTAGTCATTATGGTGTTAGGAAATCCTTTTGTTGTTGAGTTTTGTTACTAATTAGGGCCTCATTTGAGAAGCCGGCAAAGTTCCGTTCCGTTGTAGTGATTGCCATTGCATAGATTTGCTTTCATTTGATAAAACAGTATCTCCCGTAGTTGTTTCAATAGAACGACAATTCTTCGCCGTTTTAGATTGAAGATGGCAATGTTCGTTCAATGGACGTAAGCTTCGTTGGACGATGAAGGCTCCTTCAAACGAGCCCTGGTGGTTTTTATATAGGGAAAAAAAAACTTCCAAAAAATTTATGGACTTTCTGCAAGATTGAAGCTTGTTTGATAATTTTGACTTGGTATAATTATTGTAATTTAATAGTTGTTAATTTTGATTTGGAACTATGCAAGAATTTTGTTGAAAGATTTAGCCATATAATCAATGGCGAACCAGATCTCAAAACATAGGTGCAGCAAAATCAAAATTTAAGGGTTGTCGAGTATTTAAGTTTAAGATACTGATTCCTTTGAACAAGAAAATGATGTTAAGTTGGAAAATCTGCACCATTTACGTCTCTAAAAAGCCATACATTTCTCTGCCAATTCTCTTGCTAATTTCCATGAATCATCAATTTCTTCCTCATAAACAGGCTCCTTACTCCTCCTGGAACACCTCTCTTCTCTTCCGTGGATTCTGCCGACCACCAGCCGCCACCTTCTTCTCAAAGAAGCACCTCCAATCTCAGATCATCCTCACTTCTAAAACCCTCAAGGGTATGCCTTTTATATTCCCTTCATCATAACATCAACAAGAAATTCTTTCATTATACTTCCAACGCCAACAGCTTTACCTTTCAGGCCAAGAACATAACACCATTTTATCCTTTCTTCCATTTCAGCTCTCTGCTCATTCTGAGAACACCAGCCATGGCCCAAGAATGGCCAGAAGCAGCTCAACTACGCGTGCCTCTCTCTCTACCAGCAAAACTCCCTCTTCAGTGTTAAACACCAGCACAGCTTCAGTAAACTCTCGCCCCACCACCCCAGCCAACAGGGTCCGAACTCCTGCCACCACCATCCCGCGGCCCGCCACATCCCATTCAACCACTCCTGCTAGGACTCGGCCCGCAGCCGAAAAACCTCAGCCCATTGTGCAAATCTCCCGCCCCTCAACGCCAACCACCCGGGCCCACTTCACCGCCTCCTCGATCAGTTCAAGCCCTATTCCGGCCCGCCCAACCAGCCGGCCTTCAACTCCAACCCACCGGCCTCTACCTCCTGCCTCCAATTCCCGCCTGAGCTCTCCGGCAAGAAGCCGAGCTTCAGCACGGCTAACTGTTTCCCCTAACCTCCCTCTTGATGCTCCCCCCAATCTGAGACCTATTTCTGCTGGGAGGCAAAGGGCGGGAATGGAGCTAACGCCCCGAGGGAATTCAAAAGTTGAAGTTTTGGGTGGTGAGATGAGCTCTTCGAGGAGGGCATTGTCTCCAGCGGTGGCTCGGGGACAAACTGCTGACAATCCGGCGAAGGGCAGGTTGAACGGGCATCAGGACGGTTTGAAGCTGGCCGGGAATCAGAAGCTGATGGTTACAGAGAAGAAGGTGAAGCCTGCTATGGGAATGGAAACCGGTGGTTATGGCCGCACCATGTCGAAGAATTCACTCAACATGGCCATCAAGCATATGGTATGCCACTTTCACAATTCATTCTGCCTTAGCATCTAGTTTTCATCCTCCATTTTCAAAATTTATAATCGCAATATTTTTGTTGTCATGTTAAAATTTTAAGTTTTTTGTTAGTACATATTAAAGTTTAGGTGGTAGATTATGCATCCATTTTATGAATGCATTTTTCTACATATTGTTATTCATGTCCAAATCATTTCGGTCCATTTTTTACTTAATAGCCTATAACAATCTCACATCATCTCTCAAATATAATCATTTACTAATCTATATCCTTCTTTTGCCATATATTCACTTGATTTTTACATCTCATATCTTAATTTTCATGTTTACATGTATACGCTTTGTTGCTTTGAACTCATGTATGAAAATATTTATTTGACTTATAAAAAGTGGTAATAGTATTATTTTTGATCTGATAGTACGTGAGCTATGTAAAGCATTAGAATTGTGCGCTATGTATGTAAATGCCCTCGTAGTTTTATAATTTAGTTATCAAGAAATCCATATAGTCCCACCCATTTCCCATTAACTTGCCACACCCATGCCCATTAACTTGCTATCATACAAAAATTCGCTCTTTTTAGGACATTCGACAAGGCATGAGCGGCCTGCGAGGTGCCTCCCTCTTCCCTCACAGCATACGCTCCTCCACCGCCGCTAAAGCGGTCGCCGCCGCCACTAACTTAAGGAATAAGCCGGCTTCAAGAGCCGAGCCTCCGCCCGCCACACACAAGAACAAAATCACAAACCATACCAATCATGATAATGAATACATGCCCAAGAACTTGGATTCATTCGAGGGCGAAGAGTCTAAAAGAATTGATATGAAGGTCTATGGAGGCTCAATCCTCCTTAAAGAAGATCAAAGGAGTTTGAATTGGCTTCAAAACTTTGATGAGAAGGCTAATGAGACCCATTTGTTTGATCATGGATTTGATCCAAACTTTCATCCCTATGTAACCATCCCCACCACCTTGTAAATTTGTAGCCACTTTATTAATCCCACTTATGTAATAAGATGGAGGATGTTTCCATTTTTATTTTAGTGAATTGATTTTTTGCTTGAATCAAATTGTGATCACGATTAATGAGTCATGTTTAGATTTAAGGGTTTGTTTGGGGCAGCTGCAACTTATTAAAAATCAGTTGTGAAGTTGCTGAAAAATAATCTAATATTCAAAAATCTGTTGTGGCTATTATAATTTTTTTTCTAAAATTTAGACCGCAACTTGAAAGCTGTCACTGCACCTAGTCAGGACAAGTGGGAAAACACAGATTTCAGCGGCAGTTTTTTGAAAAAACTCTCAAAATGCAATTTACCCAAATAGACAACACTACGATGCGGTGCTGCACTGCCGCCCCAAATGAAACCTTAATTGATATTGGATCGAGCCAAATTCTGATTTTTGCAATCGACTTATCAAATTTATTTTATTCATGCTCGACAACTAAAAATAAAATTTATTGTCGAAAAAAATTATGGCATGTTATGAGAGGAAGGATTGTTGTTGTTTTGGTCCATTATATGTGCTTTATGGAGAATGATTTTTTAAGTTTTTTTTTTTTTTTTTTTTTTTTTTTTTTTTTTTTTTCATTCCATGTTATTCAATTAAGATTTACATACATACCATACCCCCTCAATTCCTATGTATTTACATATATAACACCTCAAAATCATTTTTTACATATATGACAATTAACCTATGCATGCAAAAAGTGTATTTCACTTCTTAAAAGTTAAAAGGACGGTATTTTTATGTGATAAAAATGGTATTTAAGTGTTGGATATGTAAATACATAGGAATTAAGGGGAATGCATGTAAAGGCCCCATTATATAAATTATATTGGATAAATAATTATTATATAAAGGATAAATAATTAATTTTTTTTTAATTAATAACATAATAAAAGTGACTTGTTCTTAGGTTATTATAAATAAATATATTTTATAAAATAAAATTAGAAAATAAAAATCAATCCCATACAATCCCTTAAATTTTTGCTGCATTATTCAAATAGATAAATAATAAGCAAAATTCAATCAATTTATGTAATAAACAACTATCAATCCCAACCGTTCAATTTATTTTGGATGGCTATGATTAACCCCCCCGTCCAATTTTCCCAAAACTTCTCTTTCCCACTCAATTGATCATGCCAGAACCAGTGTTCAACTGAAGAACTGATGAACCGGTCCAGTTTGCAGAGAACCGAATGGTTTAAATATTATCTAAATATTACCCAATTGAACATAGAGATTGTGTAATACATACATATATATATATAGGAAACAAAATTTTGAACATTTTTGTTAAAATTTTGAGTGGAAAAGTTCAAAGCGGTTTTAAAATATAACATATAAAAACGGAGGGTTCGACCCTTAAAAAATGTGTGTTTTTGCCACGACATCAAGTTTACAAGCTTGCTGAAAACTTCCCAAAATAAAGCTTCAACGTGTCATAGATAAACTTACATTTTTATCATCTAAACCTTAAATCTCTCCTTCTTTCTCTCTCTAAACAACTTCCTATAAAACAATCATGGGAGTTGCCATCTTAAACTCCGAAGAGAGAACAAAAAAATTCTAAGCGAAAAGAAGTTCATAATGGATCAGATCACCCTTGAGCTCCAATCATTCAAGCTCCATCTTACCATCCCCCCGAATCGGCGATCCCGTCTCCCACAAAGAATGACATTAGTCTACCTTCCTAGAAAATGATGAAACTCCATTGGCAGTTAACGACGCCAACATCCCTGCTAATAAGGAGGCTCTAATAGAGCTTTGTCGCGTTCGATCGACCGATCGACAAAATATCACTCATGAATCAGATGTCGTGTTTGCAAGTTCAGATCAAGTCTGTATTGGCAAATTGTTGGCAATGGGCTTCGCTTTGAGGTTTGGATCCAAGGAGAGAAAGCATTACAAGGGATTTTCCGACGAGGTGCAAAATGGGAGTTGGGCTGTGAAGAAATCAAGCTGTCGGAATGGGCTGAGATAACTGTAGTGACAAAACAAGGGCTTTTGATGCGAGAGCGGGTGAAGCAAAGGAGAAAAAAAATTTATCCTTCATTGTCGACAATAACGGAGGAAGATGAGATGGTGCCAGAAAATAAGAAAAAAGATATGGGAGGATTTGATGGTTCCGATCAAGTGAAGGAAAAGAGGAAGGAAGATGGAGATGGAACGGCGAGAATAAATATTAGTTGGGCTTTAAATGTGGGAGTTTGGGTAGCATGCATAGGAGTTGGGTTTTTTGTTTCGAGATCTTGTTTGAAGAGATTTGTAGGCTTGAAGTTATTTTGAGAATATATATATATAATATATATATATATATATATATATATGTATAGTTCTCTTCATTATTTTTTTTTCTAGAGAGGGATCATTGCTTACATACCAATATATGTGAACAATTTTAATATCTGTTATATTTTACCATTTGTTTCTTTCCCAAATAATATCTTACTGTTGCAATATTTACCTTTCATGGCCCTGCCTTTTGGCTTCTTTTCTCTGTCCAACATTAACCCTTATGTGGCCCTAAGTAGGGTTGTAAACGAGCCGAACATGAGCGAGCCCAAGCTCAGCTCTTGTTCGGCTCGTTTATATTTCGAGCTCAAAAAGGGTGTTCGTGTTCGGCTCGTTTGCTTAATGAGCCGAGCACGAGTTGTTCACGAACAAAGAGACGTATTGCCAACCATAATCACGTAGTCATGAGACGTTGAGGATTGGGGCATGATTTAAAAATTATTGTTTAAGTTAAAACATCATTTGATCTAATTTAATAATTTTTATTATATTTTCTTAATTAATACTTTTAATTGATTATGAATCTTCGTATCCTTATAGTCAATTAATTTTTTTTTAAAAAATACTCTTCATCAATATATATATATATATACAGTATTTCGAGCCAAAACGAGCCGAACACAAATGAACAAATCTTTGTTTGTGTTTTGCTCATTAACTTAGCGAACGAGCAGAGCACGAGCTTCTTAACGAGCCTAACACGAGTTGTTCGTGAATAACAAGCCATTTTGACAGCATTAGCCCTAAGTACCTTAGTTGACAAAAAATAGCCTCCCATGGCAATTAAAAGATACCAAACCTAAGAGCTTCAATGAGAGAATACATCCCCATTTTTCGTCAGAGAATTCTCCATCCTTGCTGCAAAACTCTAACCCAGGCATTAATTTCTCTGTTTGCACTGAAACTCATCAAAACCCGAAACAAAACACCAAATTAGCTTGATAAAGCCGCACAACGCAATTTCTCATTAAAAACCCTACATCCCGCAGCCTCCAACTCCATTTTAGACCAAACTGTGGCCATCTTTGATCGAACTCAAACGAGTTGGGAAGACCTCCAATTGACTCTTCTGGGAGCTTCGTGGACTCAAGATGAACCTTATCAACCATCCCAATTGAAGAAAAAGCTCCTAGGCTAAGGTAAAAATCAAAATCTCAGAGTCTTCTCTCGATATTGGTCCTTTGTGAAATAAAGTTTATATTCATGATTATCTAGTTGTGTGGTGCTCGTCGCTGGAGTCGCCGCCTCGGCCGATGCGATGTCGATGTCACTCTTGTTGTTATCGTGTCTTTGTCGTGGAGTCGCCAGTTTGTTTCTTCTGTGATTTTGATCGTGAGACTGGTAGCTAGGAAGAAGGTATAGGTGGTTTGCTTCTTCCTGGCTTACGACAAAAGGTGCAATCCTTCTTCCTTTGTGTTGTTTTGGTGGGAGAACGCAAGGATTATCTCTCAATTTTGGGAGTTTTCTCTTATGATTCTCGGGTAGAAAGAAGAAGAGAGAATGAAGTGAAGGATAGGAGAGATTTCTCTTGTAATTGTCGAAACGATCAACTGATGTAAAATTCTCAAATAGTAAAATCATTTGCAACTTTGTGGACGTAAGCAATTTGCCGAATCACGTAAATCTGTGTTCCACTGTGTACTATTTTCTGGTGTGAATTTTCTCGTTACAATTTTTTTTCTTTCTTCATTGTTAGTTTTTTCTATTTTTCTATATACCACAAAAACTAGTATCAAAGTCGTTCCGAATCTGAGGAAGAATGATGACTGCAGATGAAGTGATGGTTTCAGGTATCGAGAAATTTGATATCATAGATTTTGGTTAGTGGATAATGCAGATAGAGTACTACCTCTATGAGAAGAAACTTCATCTTCAATTATTTGAGAAAAAACCTGAAAGAATGGATGAGAATGAATGAAATTTGTTGAATCGACAAATTTTAGGGGTTATTCGATTGACCTATCGAGGTCCGTCACACACAACGTCGTCAAGAAAAAGAATACTGCATACCTTATGATAGCCTCGTCAGGTATGTTTCTATATAAACATTTGCTAGTTAAACTTCTTTATAAATCAATATAAACATTTGATATGCTATTCGCAGGGAACTATATTATTATCATATCAATATTATTTCATATTATACAACCGCCACAAGAGACACCGTCTAAAAATTTGTATCAATTAAGACATCAATATCAGTATTATTTTCTTTTTATATGCATGGGTTCATTAGTATTCCCCACTAGTACAATCAAGAAGTGCTTCATCATAGTCAGTCATGCACATACAAGCAGTCAATATAAATAAATGTGTTCATCACATTCAATCATATTATATAAAATATACACTAAAATGCATGAGTAAATAGCTACAACATTATGACCAATAAAGAAATGAATAACTCAATCAGAATAAAGCATCTAAAAATATCATCAACTGCAAACATACTTTTGAAGAAACAAATTATTACTATAATTTAAAAGTATAAGTACTCACCTGATGACACTTAATTTGCTATGGGACTTGACATTGATTCTTCTAAATATTGAAAGCCAAACATAAACATAATATTTAATTAATTTATTATTTTAAGTATACTATTACTTTTAATTTTCTTTATTTATTATGTTTAATTTTCTATTCAATAAATATATTTAAATATCTTATCATTATTAAAATTAATTAAATAATTAACTAAAAACTATTCTTTCCTAACCAGACTCGACCCACACACGAGCACCACACGCGAAGGAGGTCTCCTTCTTCCTCCTTCGTCGATCTCTCATTTTGACCTAGAGAAGCGCACAGAGGGACATCTTCTCGCTTTGTCTTCCTCTGCAAAACACCCACGTTGGCGCGTCGTTGCCAGACACTGACGTAGCCCCTCCTCTCCTCCTTTGTGATGCTCCTTCCTCGTCCCGAGGCTAGGCTGGATTCCTCTTCATGAAGCTCGACGAAGCAGCACACCTTCTTCCTATTATCTGCTTGTCACCACTGCATATCCTTCGACTTTCTTTTTTTGCGGACACCGTGTCTCAACCCTAGCTGTGCAATCCTAGACGTCACCGTTCAACTTTCCTGGTAAGTCGTCAGGGTTTCTTTTACATCTCAATCCCCCTCTCTCGTGTCAGTTTATAGGCGAACATACCTATTCGATTTCCCGACCCTTTCGCTTCTTCTCCCCCCTCTTTGGATTCTCGAGCTTCTCAATACTTCTTCCCCTTCTATTTGGTTTCTTACATGCTCACCTCTTCTTTCTTTGACTCTTTGTTGCCCGACTCCTCGCATTGGTTTTTCTTGTGTCATCTCCTTTGGTTAAAAAAAAAGAAGGTTACAAAATCCATAGATGGTGTAACAATAAACCCCAAAGACAATGTAATGACACACTTCGAAGATAATGTAACGACACATCCCGCAAACTGTGCAATGACAGGCCCTAATGATGGTGTAACAACGTACCTTACATACGGTTAATGACATACTCTTGATCGAGATCATGAATAATGGCGTATTAAGGATTCAGTCACAACTATCTAAAATAACTGCTTCGAACTATCATATCCATAATAAAATGAAGTCCTCTCTTCGCAACTCTCCACTATGATCAACATGATCAACTACAGTCTACGTGCTCCATACCTCATTGCATCTCTCTACTCTGACCTCTAATATTACGAACGTTATCGAAGCTTGCCACTATGACCTATATGACCATCTATGATTGATATGGTCCACAACTCATGCAACTCTTAGATCCAGCCTCTGCGGCCTACCTATATTATTACAACTCATCATTATGACCTATGTGACCAATTACAACGTATGTGTTACACAACTCACGTAGCTCACGACTTCAGCCTCTGCAACCTACAGAAGTTATCACAGTCATCATTATGATCTACATGACCAATTAGAACCTACATTGTCCACAACTCATGCAACTCCCAACTTTGGCAATTACAACTTACGGACATTATTACAACCCACTACTTTGACCTGTGAGACCAACATCAGACTTCATGTTTCACAGCTTATACAGCTCCCATATCTTACCTCTGTGGCCTGGAAACATAATTATAGCTCTCCACTATGACCTACGTCGCAACTCATGCAGCTCCTTACTATGACTTTTATGACCAACCGACTCTCCCAAAGCAATCATATATGACCTACATGACCAACTGCTCAATAAATTTCAAATAAGACATCTTCTACAAATTGGAGCTACAATCACCACCTACAACATTCTTGACGAGCTACTACTTTTTTTGGATTAATATCAATCAAAAAAGCATTTTTTTCACTGTAAAATATATTTTTGTATAAATATTATTCTCATTAGGAAATATAACATTACTAAAATGTGTGACATGAGTCAAGACAATTAGTGAGCACATGTGGCAAAAATAATGTCCAAATAAGGATTGAGATGGAGCACATGCAATGATGATACCACTGAGATATTCTTACATACATACATGCAAAAATTGGGGGTATGTATGCAAGTTGATCATCCTGAAAAAAAATCTGATTATGAAATCAATCCTAATTCAAATTGGATTGGGATATCCTAACCCATACTTTTTGCCATGTGAAGTATATTTCTTGGGTTTGTAACTACTTCAAAATTAAATTTAAAAATTTATGTAAAAAAGGGAGTTCATGCTATGATAAAAAAAAACAGAAAATTTTATATCTAATTGCTATACAACATCAACAAATTTATCATTTGACAAGAATCCTGATGTATGACCCAAATTTTGAGGCAACTTTTTGAGAAAAAATTGTTCGAACTTCAATTAAAAATCATTCAAAACCTTGATTTCGGTAAACTTACGGTCAAACTGAATGGCTTGACAAAACGGAGCTGATGATTCCAAAATTGGTCCAATCCGAGTCAAATAAAGCCCGAATCAAGCCTTTAAATCACTTTTGGATGATTTAAGTGCGTAATTGGAAGATCTAAACAAATTCCAAATCTGACAACCTTATAATCTAACCAAGCATCTCAACAAGTCAAATCCAAAAAGGCGCTCAAATATTCATCAGATGTCGTCCGATCGAGGGAATATCACCAGGCCATCCGCTGGAGTGATATGAATTTCTTTCATATTTGCAAAGATGCCTCCCCCAAACAATATAAATAGATTCCTACCACGCTTTTGAGAGGGGAGGGGGAAACCTTGGGCTAAAGAAAACTAAAGCTTGAAGGAGAAGTTGAAGTCCAGCAACGCTTATACACCGCAGATTCGATGAATGCCTCTCATTCCTGCAGCCACCGATCACTATCGATCGCCGCACTTCAGCCATCATTGCCTGCCTTGTTGCAATGAAAACCCTTGCGGAATCATGGCGTGAGCTGCAAAATCATGACGTAGATTGCAGAGTAATGAGATATTATGCAGAAAAAGACACCTCACATATGGTGCAACAAAGCCTCCCGAAGATAGAATAACAATGTACCCCAAAGAAAGTGACTTTTACAGAACTACTGAAGCTCTCTCTTTACAACCCGCCGCTATAACTAATGTGACAAACTACAACCCAAGTAGTTCACAACTCGTGCAGTTCCTGACTTCGGCCCCTGCCACCTACGGAAGTCATTGCAACTCACCATCATAGTTTACGTGATCAACTATCTCCTACATAGTTCACAACTAAAATGATTCCCAACTACGACCAATGCAGCCTACAGACACCTTATGTGGTCTACAGTTTGTGCCGCTCCCAACTCTGTCTCTTATGGCCTACATATGTCATCACAACTCACCACTACAACCTACGTGACCAACTATAACTTACGTGGTCCACAACTCGTGCAGCTCTCAACTCCGACCCATATGACATACCGACTTCATCACAACTCACCACCACGACATATGTGTACATCTGCGACCCACATAATCCACAACTTGTGTAGCTCCCGACTCAGGCCTCTGTAGCGTACAGACGTCATTACAACTCACCACTATGACCTATTTGACAAGCTGGTGTAACAACCGCTGTATATAACATTCAAGATGAATTTATGCCTCTATGCAACTTGCTATCATGGAGAGCTACATTCATGATAGCCAGACTACGACTATTATCGATGAATTTACAACGATCAATTTTGTGACTCCATCTGCTCTAATTCAAAAGAAGAGTTGGCCTATGTAATCACCATTCATAGTTGACTAGTTCAACGGGGTTATGCCCATGATTTTTTCAGGATTTTTCACATAAATATTGATGTGTATTCTCATTCTTTTCTTTAATTACCTAAATGTGCGCTGGATTTTCATGCAACGCTAAAAAAGAAAATTCATTACTCTATCGCCGCAGACCTTCTAACACACATCAATTATAATACTTTAGCATCATTAATTAAACAAAAAAAAGACTTCTTTCACATCTAAAAAAATTAGTCATAGAATCATTTTTTATGCAATATTAAGGATTTAACGTCTGAAATTTAATATTTATTCGCATAACACTTTCTTATCTTAATCATCACAAAACATATATATATATATATATTATATATATATATATATATATATATATATCGAAAATTTTAATTTTGCATTGCAAAATATAAAAAAAAGGACTTTTCATTATTTCAAACTCAATCCCATAATCTAATGGAATTAACTAATGCTCACTTTAAAGAAAAAATCTGTTCCATTTTCATGGGAGAGGCAAGATTATGTTGTGAACTTCATTAAAAAGAGACACATACTTTGGTTGAACAAAGATGATGAATGTGCCATTCAATATGGTTCTAAGAACTTACTTTGTCAAGGCTCTCGAGCTCCCTTTGCCTCTTCTCATTCTCGAGTACTCTCTGTTCTTCGTCTTGCTTTTTTCTTTCGGCTTCTTCTCGCTCCTTTTTTTCATCATCTTCTTCTTCCTCGAGGTCAAGAGCTTCAAATTCCTTCTCGGCCGCCATTGCTTTGATGATGGGATCTCTGAGTTCTGATATCAAGCCGCCGCCCACTCTGTATTCTTGCTCGTCGCCAATTAGAAAGATCCTCTGGTCGGGGCCGGAAGCCATGGGTATATCAACAGCAAGAAGCTTCATTTCATGCTGCAAAAGACAAGTTTAGTTAGGGGCATTTACATAAATACCGCCAAATTCCTCTATATTTACACATCTAACACCTAACCTTCATTTTTTGTCATAATACCACCCACATCTCTCATATCACATAAAAAATACCAACATTTTAAATTTTAAAAAGTGAAATAGACTTCTCAAAGTATATAGCTAATTATGTAAATAAATAGGAATCGAGTGGTATGAATGTCAATTTTCCTGAATTTAAATTCAAAGTATATTGCTTAATAGACCTAATAGAAATAGAGGTAATAGATTCTTATATATTTACATGTCTGGCACCTAAATTTACATATTTACATGATTGGGATAATAAGAATAATAATAAGGGAAATTTGCATACATACCGCTCAATTCTTATATATTTACATATCTGGAACCTAAACTTTTATATTTACATTTACAACAATTTGGTGTGATAAACCTATGCATGATAATTGTGTCTTTAACTTTTTAAAAGTAGATGACAGTGATACATTTGATGTGATATAAAAGATTTGAGCGTTCTGCATGTAAATAATAAAGTTTGGGTGTTAAATATATAAATACATCATGATTGCGCGGCATGCATGTAAAGTCCCTTAATAATAATAGGGTATCAAATGTAAGAGTCCCGACATAAAATAATGATACATACGCTTATATTACAAGCAAAGAATCAATTAATTTTAGGCTAGAAGGATTTGTTTTCAAGTTTTGTTCAAGAGAACTAAGAATAGATAAAACAAAAAAAGAAGCTTGATAAGATGTTCAAAGATCTTCAAAGGGCATATAACTCGGTAATTTAAGAAATGATCGAGTAGTCATCAAACCACAAAATTCTTATGTATTTACATATCTAACACCCAAATTTTAATGGTTACACCGATAACACATTGGTGTCATAAAGTTAATGTATTTCATTTTTAAACAAATAGTGATGATGGTTGGTATTTTTGATGCGATGTTAAAGATATGAGCGATATACATGTAAATATGAATATTTAGATGTTAGATAAGTAAATACAAGAGATTGTGTGGCATGTATGTAAATGCCCCTAAAAAAATTTATGAGGCATGTAGAAGGAAACATTTGCTAGTTAATTCAAAAATCTATACTTGATTACTGAGTAGGGCGTTGATTCATCATCTTTATGCAACAGAAAACAATATAAGAATACTTAAAATGAAAGCTTAAAAAAGGCATTTACACACGTAAACTTTCATATTTACACATAATAGCACTCAAAATCTTTAATCACATAAAAAATAGCATTATTATCACCTTTTAAATGTGAAATTACCTTTTCATGTATAGGTTTAAGGCTCCGTTTGGGGCAGCTTATCCGCTGCGGCGGCGTTTTGAAAACACTGTCTCACCGTTTGTAAATTACGTTTGAGTAACTTATCCGAAAACACAGTTGTTTTTTTACACTAAAAGCGGAAAGTAGGTCGAACCCCGCAGTTCGCGTTTCCAAATAAACGACTTATCTGAATAAGCACAAGCTGCCCCAAATGCACCCGAAAGCATCAAATTGGTATGTGTGTAAACATGAAATTTAGGTATGAGATAGGAAAATACATAAGAATTGTGTGCTAGGCACGTAAATTTCCCAAAAAAAAACATACTACATAGATAATATTATAAAGACAACTGCTATATTTGGTAGATTGAGTACTAGGAAATTAAGAAAATAAGATGAACTAACCTGGCCCTTTTTCTTCTTCACCTCCACACTAACAAGGCCCCTCCTTTCAGATCCACGAATAGGGAAAATAAGGAAACACCGCTTTCCGCCTAACCTCAACTTGAAATTCTTTATCTTCGGTAGCCCTCCGGACATAATATAAGCCCTCACATTCGTTCCGGCTAGAGGGGCGCCCATGAGCTCAAGAATAGGGGCAGATGTATTCAACTTTCTCATAGCTATTCTATAAACCTTATTAGGATTTATAACGAACCTTGAACGAATGTAAAGACCCTGCAATAATACAGATTATTCGTCAATGAAGAACTTCTGGTAGCTTGAACTAGAAGTGTGTAATTTTGTTAAATTATCATAAATGTTGAAATTGCAGCAGGGATTTTAATTGTAATAAATAGAAGCCTGTGCAAGATAAATTGTTAGTACAACAAATTTTCATTCTGAAAAGTTAGAAATATAACTTTTAGAAGAAGAGAATAAGGTGAAAGAATAAAGCTACAGCCCCAAGAGACTTGGAATCTCACTGCTATATCAGCCTAAACGCAGCAAAAGTAGCATCTTATGTATATCAATATGTTTTCTTACTGTACTAAGAGCCAATTTGAAACGGTTACAGCTTTTTGTAAAGGTAATTGTAAAGTTTTTCTAAAAAAATCAGCTTTCTAAAAGCTAATGCAAGTACTAAAAAATATTTTTTCTTTCATATGATCAAACGGTAGTTCTGGCTACTAATATTATAGCAAATCTGATCGTAAAAATCAGTTTCGCGCCACAATTTTTTTTTAAAAGTAGTGCCCATGAAAAAATGCGGTAGAAATTTGTAAAACAAAGCAGTAAAAAACCAGTCCCAATCAGATCCTAAGCTGGTTTACTCTGACGTGGCTTCTGTTTTTGTTTTTGATGTGCCTTCAGAGTTTTTAAGACCTGCTTTTACTGACATTTCTTGTATTCCACTTTTCCAAAAGTAATTTTTCTAAAGCAAATTCTAACAAAAGCTGCCTAGATTTTCATCCAAATAGATTTGGCTTTTTTCGCACTGCTTTTGCTATCACAAAAGCAAGATCAATCAGAGAATTTCAGCTATTTATAAATTACTCTACTAATATTCACGCAAATTATTTAGCTTCACAGAAATAAATCATAGATTTAGTAAAAACAAGTCATTTTGATAGATAAATTTGCAAGTTTCAAAATATAGATTGGAATGAAATAAGTGAAGAATCAATTGCTATATAGATAGTAACATGACAGCGAAGGACTCAAATAATTTTTTGTTAGAGAAATTACTCATTGAGAGACTTAAAAAATTATTTTAGACAGTTAAACCAGTTCAAGTGAGTAAAAGTTTCAAGAATTCCAAAGCAAAGAGTAGCATTATTTTTGACAAGATAACGAAGAGCTTAAATAAGTGGAAAGAAATTACAAAAAACAAGACAATTAATAAAATTATTTCAACTCGATCAAATAAATGAGCTCTCCAAAAATATTCCTCAATTATTTTAACATCCAAAAGTATTTAGTCAAAGAACACTAGCTCAAGTGATACACTCCTCGGTTCCAGGATGGCTGTCTTAAGTTCAAATCCAGCTTGTGACCTTTTAAGTATTCACTAACTTCTTGAGTGAAGTTAATGATCTGTTGGGACAACTATAGCTTTTTATAAAGATGATTATAAAGTTTTCATGGAAAATAAATTTTTTTAAGGGTTATTGTGGGTATTATAAATATTTACTTTTTTTGAAAATGTCAAACAACGGCATTATTATAGCTATCACACAATAAAAGTTCTAGTTACAAAAATAGCTTCTTACCAATAAATTTTTTGAAAAACAACATCTAAATGAAAGTATGATTTGAGATCTAAATATAAATCAATGAAAAAGCTGTCCAGAATAGATCATTAATTAATAACCACGAATCTGAATTTGTAATTTTCTTACAACTATTTTCAATTAATAGAATATCAGAAATTATCTTCTATATTTAAAAAAAAAAATCTAAAATTTTCTACAAGGTCTCCATTGCATATGTCTCTAGAAAGCTCGCAGGGTAGGTGATGTGTCAATACCAAAAAAAACACTAACCCAACCAATGGCCGCTCTTATATGTCATGACTCCCTTTACATGTGCCCTAAAAACACGGTTAAAATAGCCCAGAATAGCATGCCTATTTAATCGAATACTATGACAAAATATCTGAAGTCTATATTCATTGAAAAGACAAAAAGTGAATTTTAAGAGGAGCATTTAAGTTTTTGTCAAACCTATTTATGATGATGATCCAAATGATAATATGTTTGATTACATCTTTAGTTTTAGTTTATTGCTACAATCATTTCAATTCAGCACTTGGATTCCTCAATTCAGTTGTTTCTGATTCCCAGATTTGGTTGAATATCCACATATAGCAAAACATCACACCTTTGCAAATTATCAATAACCATGAACATTTGTTTCAAGATAAGGAGCTCTATTTCCATTCTTTTATGGAAATATTTTGATGGACAACTAGAATTTTATATACATTGGCAGCACAAAAATTGAACCTTAACAGCAGCATGGTTCTTTTGTTTCGAATTTTCTTTTTAAGTTTATGTTAAACATAATGATGATGATGATAGTAATCAGAATGATTTTGATCACAGCTTTAAGTTTAATTTACTGTTACAAGTATTTCAATTCAGTTCTTGAATTTCCTAGTTCAGTTTTTTTCCAATTTTCTTGAAAGATTAAATTTATATGTAGTGCTAAGGTTCTTATTTGTAATTATATTTTCTTTCGTTAAGATTATTTTTATAATATCCTCGTCAAAAAAAAGGTAATTATAGAAATATAGTCATTCCATCTTAAATAAAGGTTGGCCTATATAATCCTTTCACGCCATAATAAACTTAGATTTTAGGTAGTGAATTTTTAGATTTTCATAACTTTGGTAAGGAGTTCCTAAAATTTTGAGATGTGAAAACAAAGGAAATCATAGTGGAGTATCGATCGAGGTGGAAACAACAATAACTCGAAGGAAAGGCTTCCGGTGAAAGATTAGAGAATTTGGAATGCACCCATTAGCTTATCTATTATTCTCTACAATTGGGGTTTCCCTTGAATTTCTTATCTGGTCGCTGGGGCTTCAACCTCAATTAGCACCAGCTTTGAGAGTCAGAATAGGGAACAAGAGGTGTGAGAGTTCACAGAACAGGGGAAAAAAGTAAACCTTAAGAGGAGCAATGTTTAATTTAATTTGTATTTTCTTTTAAGTTTATGTAAAATATATCTAAGATGATCCCAGTGAGAAGAGCTTTGGTAACCCATTTAGATTTAGTTTACTGTTACAAGTATTGTGATTCAGCTTTTAGCTTTTGCTAATTCAGTTCTTTCTAATTGTCAACTTCAATTATTATGCAAATTCGTTTTGAAAATTAATTCAGTTGCTACTATACTTGTAAATACATTACCTAATTGCCATTATTATAAAACTGTTGTTGCAGCTGAATGTTTATTTCCATCAATCTTTCTTCTATGGAAGTTGTACCCTACAATCTTGGTTTTTTAGTAGGAAGATTTACATACATACCACCCAATTCTGTGTTTACATATCTAACACATAAACTTCCATTTTTACATGCATGCCACATTACCTATGCTTGAAAAGGTTTTCACTTTTCAAAATTTAAAACGGTCGTATTAGTTTTGCGACATGAAAGATTTGGGCGGTATAAATGTAGAAGATAAAGTTTAGGTGTTAGATATGTAATTACACTCGAATTATGTAATATGTATGTTAATGTCCCATTTTAGTACTGTAACAAAGGTCAGCTACGGCAATTCCTTCTTTCTTCTTCATATTGTATTGGAATTAAAAGATGATTTAGTGATTAGCAGGATTTTTGGGTATCAACGTGTAAAAAGAGATAAATCAACTTTGTTGTTTACTTTTATATAAAATATCTGTCCTATAATTGAAGCAACATGCAGAGAAAGATCTCATACAAAATGAGCATGCTGCCTATACCAAATCCCTATAAAAATAAGAGGTTGAATCGTCAACTTTTTTATTCTACTTGTAATATGAGTGTATGAAATCAAAACTCGAAATTTATAGGAATATTTACATGCATGCCACTCAATTCAAAGATATTTACATATCTAACACCTAAACTTCAATTTATACATACATACCACTTTACCCATGCATGAAAAGAAGTATTTCACCTTTTAAAAGTTAAAATAGTGGCATTTTTTTGTGATATGAAAGATTTGGGTAGTACAAATGTAAGAAGTAAAGTTTAGGAGTTAGATACGTAAGTACATAGCCCCAATTTTTTTATTGGGTGTGGAAAAGAATCTATGAAATTTTTTATTTTGGATTCCTTGTGGTCTATATATAAAACCCCTCAGATATGCAAAAAAAATATTAAACAATCAGCATTACAATAAAGTTCTAGTTATCTACAATTATAATGCATGTGTTAGAAGTGTGTTCTTCAATTGTTTTACATAGATTGATAACAACTTTTGGGGTTGAATCACATTATGCTAGTGAGAGGCCTAGTACTTTCTTTTAGACAATTTATATCATTTTTCTTAATTTTATTTGTTTAGAGGCCTTCGTTACCGCTTACATGAACCCTAACAATCTTGATGTTAATTCTTCTTAGCTTTCATTGTCACTGTTGATCCTTCATCGTCAATTCCTACTCATGGCCTTCATCACTAAAGTCTCCTGCAACTTCCAAACAAAATTGACACAATGAGCTATAGTATAGTCTCCACACCATAGCCTTCATCATAAACTCATAATCTTTTCGATAGTTCTTGCCATCACCAAAATGCATCACAACTCTATAGTTTCTAGATTTTCAATGTGGTCTTGATACTTTTTTATTTTATCTTATTCCATTGACCTCAATAATCAAGCTCGATATCTGCTCTTCGTCCACCTTTGCTCCTCAACTTTTGCTCCAATGTCCTGATGAGTCTCGTGGTATTCATTGCTGTAGGAGTTTTTCTACTATGTTTGTGACCTCTTTAATTCTGAAGGGAGAGAAATTTCTTGGTTACGAGTTTTTTTTTTTTCCTATATTTTCTTTTCCGTTGTGAAGCACTTATAGCCTTAATCTCTCTTCTTTGTTGTTGGATCCAGAACCTTCAACCTCTCCATCATTTTTGAATCATGTGGTAGCTATTTCACAATGACAACAGAAAAATCATCACCCAATCTTCTATAGTCCATCTTTCCATTAAAATCATAATGTCATCCAATTCTTATAAAGTTTATTAAGCAAGAACTCATTCATAATACATGATAACAATCCATTAAATTCTCCAAATCTAGTCATGCTTGCCAAAGTTTGATGAAGAGTTCTTTTTACTCTACGTAAAGTATACAAGCAATTCTTGTTACTTCCAAATTATGACCGCCATCTCTGAGCTTTTTGAGAGTTTTTTGAAGCCCAGGGAAATGAAGATCATCAAAACCTAATGATCATTTTTTAATGAGATCTTTAAGAGGACTTAAATTATCCATTTATATTCTACATATCAGGGGAATGAAGCAAGATCATCAAAGCCTGCCAAACCTTCTCTAATCAGATCTTTGATAGCACCTTTATTAATCGCATGCATTCCATATGATTTTAAGCTAATGTACTATCCTTATGTGTCAATACAGCCATATTTGACCCATCTCATAAATTAAGGGACCAAAGCCCATAAGCTAAGATAAAGCTAGGTCATCAGTGGATATTGCCTTCAATCCAACAATCCATTCTCTTCTCCTCCTCCCTCCTTTTCCATGAGCCTCAATCTCTACTCTTCATTCTCCTCCTAATAAATGTGTGCATTATTTGGTCAAAGGCAAAAAAAAACCATATAGAAACGAGCAGGTTTGGTTGATTCTGTTCGGTTTCAAAAAAAAAAAAAATCAATTCTTTTATTTTTAAAACCTTTAAAACCTTAATATTTGGGTTTTAGTTATTGGTTCAGTTTTAATTTTCATTAACCAAAAAAATTCAAAATTAAATAGAAGATTTATGAAATTAAAACGATATTATACATGTAAGAAATGTATTTTTTAAATTTATTCCTAACCGAAATCCAACAAACAAATAAATTTTAGTTCATTCATAACCTAACTATTTAAGCCAAATTAAATTTTAAATTCGGTCCTTTCAGTTCTATCAAAATTTTTATTGGTTCAATTTTTCGGATTTCGGTTTCCAGTTACAATCAGTTTCACCAATTTGGAAACCAAACCATCCTAACCGACCAGATGCTCGCCCCCAACTCCAATACTAAAACACAGCCAACACCTCATCCTATCCAAGTTATAGAATATCTGTGATCGAGTTAAGCTATTGGCGCTGGTAAAAAAAAAATAGCAGAATTATAAAAATGCAATATTAAAATCATGCCAATCATCATGAAATAATAGATAAAACTTACAGTAAAAGCAACAATGGCAGTAGCCAGAGCAAGAAATCCATATTTTGCCATGCCTTCTGAAATCCCCACAAAAATACTTGCAAATCCAAACAATATCCTCCACAAAACAATACAGAGAACTAAACCACCAGCTCCAAGAATAAACAGATAATTCCTCTTCCAAAAAGCCTCCAACTGCAAACCAATCACCTCCCGGTACCTCAAAAACGTCGATCTGATGCTCGATAGAGGCCTGCTGATCACCGATTTCCCCAACCCTTCAGCAATTTTGGCGGAATTGAAACTCTTAACCGAAATCAGTCTGTAAATCGAACCCTTCTCTATAAAACCACGAATCCCCGTCACCTTAGAAGAGAGATTAGGTAAATTGGGAGAAAACCCCGCGCTCATCTTCCTTGAAGGCAAGAGACCGAGAGAAAAATTCAACCTGTTGACGTGGAGGAAACGAGAAACAACAACGTTAATAGATGGAGATTTAGAGAGAGGATCGCAGGAATGGAATCTGCTCCAGATTCTTCCAGCATGATGCAGGCCTCCATGGAAATCCCAAGATACATTTTTCGATTTCGATAAAGCAGGTTGGCTACAGCCGACGGGGTTCTGACGCAAACCCCTTGATGCGATCTCATGGAACCAAAACCTCTGGAAATCACAGACAATTCGCTTCGAGGGTTTCGCCATTTATGAGCAGCTGTACACTGCGGAGAGAGAGAGGGCGAGGAGAAGACCGGTGCTTACCTGACTCCAATTAGGAAGGTTTACATACATGCCACTCAAGTCTTATGTATTTACATATGTACCAATCTAAATTTTATTTTTACATGCATAAGTTACAAAAAGTTTAGATTTCACTTCTTAAAAATTAAAATGATGACAATTTTTTTATGATTTCAAACATTTAGGCTCCGTTTGAGGTAGTTTATTCGCTTACGACGGCATTATGAAAACGTCGTCTCACCGTTTTCAGATCAGCGGCTTATTTGAATAAGCACAAGCTGCTACAAACGCATCATTAAATATACAAATGCAAAAGATAAATTTTAGCTGTTCGATATGGAAATTATTGAAATTGGGCGGTACATATGCAGGAGTCTACTTCATGAACAATTAGAGATATGGCTACGAAGTAAATTATATTGGAGTTGTATGCCACTGTTTCTTATTGTTGGCTAAATTCTTGTTGAAAGTTTCAGCTAGACCATTTGGCTTTGGATAATAAATTGTTGAATATCTCCACGTTTGTTTAATAACGCTTCATTACATAATTAAAACCCACATCCCATGCTAAATATCATTTCAAATGAACAAATTTTTTAGTGTCATATAACATCATTCGAACAATAATATACAATGCATTCATTATAATACTATCATATTATAAATTGTCATTTGTATTGACTTCAGTAATTTGTATCCATTCAGGTCGAAAATTGAAAGGAGTTGGCTCATTTTAATCGTGCCAACTTACAATAAATGAACATAAATAAATTACAAAAAAATTAAAAATCCGGCCAATTATATATATATATATATATAGGATGATATGTGAAATATGCATGGCTCAACAACAACAACAACAGTAAGCCTTTATCCTTCTAAGTGGGGTCGGCTACTTCAATTCGATTTCAATACAATAACACAAGCATTTACTCCACTAAGTGGAGTAGATTTAAATGATTAATGTCATCATTTTTTCGAAAAAAAAAAGTTCATAATAATTAAAAACTACCTAACACAACTTTCCAATTTTCACTTATGGGGGCTTGGGACCTTAACAACAATAATGTTTTCAATCCAATTCAAAACCAAGTCAAAATTCAAATTATTACGTGCAGCGTCCGTGCACCATATGTCCGGACGAAAGTTCAGATGAGCTGCGGTGCGATACAAGCCAACATGGCCACATCCGGACCACCAGAACATCACCTGGACATACAGTTAGCCGCACATAATAGTTTTTCCAATATGTGACGTACTCTAGCATATTATCACACACTAAATCGAGCACAAAATTCATTTTATATATTCTCATTATTCTCAAGAAAAAGAAAATACATGAAAGATACACTTGAAGCATTATCAAAAATACAAACTATACAAATCATCCATGTTGAAAGAAACCACTTCACATATCGCCAAAGTTCCATATTGAAGTTTGAATGTTCATTCAAAATCTTATGTATATATATATTCATATATATCAAAAAATAAATTTACCAACAAGCGCTAGAACTTGCACATACAAGCATCACGGCGTTGTCTCAACCATTCGACGGTCGTGGCGATGGCAATGGTGGCATCGGCACGATGGGGCAGTCTTCGGGGACGACGATGGAGGCGAGTTCGGGAGACGAGCACCTAGGCGGGGCAGTGGAGAGAGTTGAGCGGGGTGGAATGGGGCAGACTTCGGTGACTTCTTCAGCGCCTTCGTCCATGTAAATGACGTCCTGCATCGTGAGCTGGTGGTATTCAACAATCTCCCTCAAGAACCGGTTCTCTCGAGCATAGACGGAGTTCTCGTGAGCGAGCCGTCCCTTCTCAGCTAACAATGTCTCCAACTGTAGCCTTATCTGTGAAGGAATGGAACAGGATAAAATGGCAGGCAGGCAATGAAAGTTGTTTTCTGGGGTATTTATATATATACCAACCAATTCTTATGTGTATACATATCTAATACCTAAATTTTGCTTTATGCATTTACACCACCTAAATCATTCATATCACATAAACATACTACTATTTTAACTTTTTTAAAAATGAAATAAAACATTTTAATGCATAAGTCAGGTGGCATATATATGTAAAAATTGAAGTTTGGACAGATATATAAATGCATAATGATTGAGTGGTATGTATGTAAATCTTCCTCTCTTACAAGTACAACAAACACACCACAATAACTAGGAGATTAGCCAATTCAAGTTTAGGGTTATGAACTTATCCAGTAAAATATGAGCAATATACAGAAAAAATTCTAAAAGAATCTATATGTTACATATATCTGCATATAATCATACAAATATAAATACATTAATATAAACATTTACAATCTCTCCCCACTCACACACACACAATGTGTTTATGAAACAAAATGGAAGATTTACATGCATAACGCCTTAAACATGCATGAAAAAACATGTTTATGATTAATAACCCATTAATCTAGAGTACCAAACAAAAAATTTTCAAAAATCATTAAGACTCTCAAATCGATAAAGGATTATGTGTAACACAACCATCTCATTGCAAGATTAGATAGAAAAACATGAAAATAATGAATGAAAAAAAATGATGACAAGAAAATTTTGTGCAAAATAGGAAGAAAAAAGTAGATACTTTAGACAATTTTAAGAATATAACATAAACTTGAGCAATTGCATAAAAAAAGTAATAAGAATTAAACAAGTCAATAATGGCGTAAAAACACACGCTATAGACTATAGCACATGGCGCGACACGCCACATCATCAACACAAACCATATGGCCCAAAGCAGAGTAACAAAATGGCTCGTGACATTTATGTCATGCATGGGTAATGGAGCAATGTATTGCTTCTAGGGAACGCGTTAAGATGACCTATGATTTAATCAAATAACAATAATCTCTTTTGCATAATTTTTTCCAGTCAGCCGCCAAAGTCCTACACTAGCATGATAACCAGCAAACAAATGCACGAGGAAGTGCTCCATCCCAATAAGCTCTACTCGTTCTCATTCGCACAACATCCTAGCAACTCTTGCTTGCGTGGAATCCCAATGTCTTTTGCTCTCATGAGCATCTTAACACTTCTTATGAGAGTTGCATGCCAGCACCGCTCGCTTGCATGGCATCCCAACACCACTCGCTTGCATGTAAGGGTGTAAATGAGTCGAGTCGGCCTCGAGCCACCATCGGCTAGAGCTCTTGAGCTTGAGCTTGAATAATTTTACGAGCTCGAGCTTGAGCTTAAGTCTACGAGTTCGAGCCAGTTCACGAGCCAACTTGCTTATTATATAAGAGAGAAAAACAATATTAATTTAATGTGGAGTTATAATAAAATGAAAAATAAAATGAATAATTATGAGAGAAATAAAAAGTAATCACTTTATATAAAATGCACAATATTATTTTCTTAAATATTTTTAATACTTTAATGATTAAATCTTCAAATTTATTATATTTTGAGTATATTTTATATTTTAAATGAGCCCGCTCAAGAGCTAACAAGTCAACTCAGAGCTAGCTTGAGCTTGGCTAGTTAGCTCATCGAGCTCAGTTCACGAGCCACTTAACGAATCAACTTAACTGACTTACACGCCTACTTCCATGGCATCCCAACAAAATTCGTTCAAATTGACTAAGTGTCTCTCACTCGCACATCAAACCAATGCCTCTCGCACTGCATCCTAGTGTCACTCGCTCGAGTGGCACGGTGATTTGATTCGATAGTCGTAGAGTGTCACCTATAGTGAGTTCATTATTTTACTATTTTTACTCTTCTGTTTTTGCTGATATTAAGGAAGTAATTCGTTGAAAATGAAGCATTGCAATTAGGTTAACTTAATATCATATTCGAAAGTGAAATATATATAACCTTGGGATTTGTCGAGCTGACGACATTAAAACAAGTGCTTCATGGAAGGAAACCCATAGATTATGAGTGTTAGTGTGTTTTGTGAGTTGTATTAGTTTGAGGTTTGATATGTTTGTTTTAATGTGGATTGATCAGTTTGATTGATGTTAGTGGATGGTTGGACTGATATTGGATTGATTTGATCATTGTGTATATCATGAGTGAGGTGATTCCTTAACTCCTCGTTGTGACTAGACTTATAATTATTCTCTGGCAGTAGTTGGATTAATGAGTACATTACGATTCAGATCTAAACCAGACTTGAGGATTAACTGGAGACATTATGAGTTTCGAGATAGAACAGGTCCATCAAAAATCTTTTAATTCCTTTATCTGACCTTTTTTTTTATCAATATGGTTCAATAAATTAGTTGATGAATAACCAGAGAATGATCTTACATTAATCTTATAACTGTTAAAGGTGGTTGGTACTCGCGAGCTAATATATCAGGGATAATCGTATTCATGGTGTTAGACATGATAAAAATATTTAAAAGTACCCAAATTAATTAGTGAAGTAATTCAGTTAGAATTGGAAGTAAGGAATGGAGGTGTGATGAGATGATGGAGGAAGAATTGAAGAATTGACCTCATTTATCAAGTGTGTTTGTGTATGTGTTACAACAATATAGAGGACTTGAGGAACAGTTAAATATATTTCTGGTTTAAAATTTAGACCCAAACACATTTGAATGCCATTTAGTATTTGAAGACAACAAAACAAATGCATACCAGATCATCATCTTCTGGATTGCTGCCCTTCTCGAGACCCTCCCTTAGCACTTTGTTCTCATCTTCAAGTTGAGTGCAACGCTCCTTTGCAAAAGCAAGGTCTGCCTTGACAGTCTTCATCTCTCGCATAAGTAGCTTGGCCTTTGCAGCCATTGCATTTGCAACCTGGAAAACCATAAAAAGGCATTAAAAATAAGTGTACTTAATGTCATTAATGGACAAGCAGAATACTAAGAGGAGTGAATGTAGGGGCATAAAATAAGAAGTTTGGCCCTTGCACCCATGCATTTGAAACCTGGGAAAAGGCAGAAAAAGGGCATAAAAAGAAAATGACATTTATATCATTTCCACACTTAAAAGGATAAAAGCCGTAAAAAAATATTGATATTCGACATAAATGAGCAAATGTCACTATAACTGACTTCAGTAAAGGAACTTTGCAATGCTGATGATAAATCAGGAAACAAATTTTATGGAATCCATAATGAACTAGACTCATAAGTCATTACATAAATAGTGCAACTACCCAAGATCAAGCACCTGCGCCCACCAAGTTGATTTATTTATTTTATTCACCTAAGGAATTATTTGCAGAATCTTGTAAGGACGGCAATTCTCTGGTTTCCTCCAAAATTAAACCATATGATTTTTTATAGTATATTGTAAATGAAATATTGAACCAATGAGCAGCGATTAGGATAACATGATAAATAAGTCTGAACCAAGCAAGCAACATACACATAAAAATTTCTGTTACAAAGTTGCCACCTTACGTCGCGAGATGCCTTCAGTTGAGTTTCATAATCAGCCTGAATTTGAGGGAAGCTCTTTGGAGAAGTTTTGTTTAGAGCCTGATTCTGTTCAGTTTGGCTACCACCCTTTTTCCGGATATGCAATTTTTTAGTTTCCTGAATGATGTCAACTGTTTTGTTCTCCATAATTGTCAAGCCTTCCTGGAAATCAAAAAACACTATCCATTAAAAATGCTAAGAATTTCATGGCGCGGCTTCGGGAAGAAGGATGAAGAAGAACAATTCTAAGAAACAAGTTACACTTACTCCAATGGCATTTTTTATAGTGCCACCAATGTAAGTAAGGGAAGAAGATATTGAGTCTGAGCTTTTCTGAGGCGGAACCTCCATCTTTGAGTAAATCTGCGGCTGCTGCTGAAATTGATTGTCCTGCAACTGAAAGAATGTCAAATCCCCAATGAAAATGTTTACTCATTCCCACAACTTGAAGACAATTTCAAGTAAAATACTAAAACATAATTCAATAAGCATTATGATAAATGTCACAACATTAAACAGTATCGCGATAAAAAACCTCCACAGTTGGAAGCGAGACCACTGATAAGGTGCTTGCATATTACAAGGCAGGGAAACTCACGAAGGTAAATGGCACCCATAAGTTGAAAATGTCCAATAGTGTCTGTTGAGGTTAAAAAGGCAAGAGGCCAAACACTTGCCTATTAAAACCATAGGGCCAAATTTCAAAGTGGAAAAGCACATCATATATAACACTAAATGTAGAAATAAACACTAAAAAGAAATTATGTAAAATCAATGATGCATAAAAATAAGAATCTAATTCATAAAGTAGTGTGTATATATACTGTGTCGTAAGTAGGCGGAAGACTCCTACAAATAATGTTGCAGGGAAGTAAACAACATATAGAAAAAACTGACTTCTAGTTGACTGTGATTGTTTTTTAGTGCAGTTTCTGCAGTGTTTGTAGATAGGCAGAAGTAGGGCTGTCAAAACGGCTTGTTGTCCGGGAACAGTTCGTGTTCAGCTTGTTAAGAAGCTAGTGTTCGATTCGTTCGCTAAGCTAATGAGCTGAAGACGAACATTTTTTTTTGCACTCGATATATAAACGAGTTGATGGAGAAGTTCAGAGATAATAAGGAGAATCTACATTTGATTTTTATTGATTTAGAAAAAGCTTACGATAAGGTTCCAAGAGATATCCTTTGGAAAGTTCTCGAGAAGAAATGTGTTGATATGACTTATATTCAAGTCATTAAAGATATGTATACTAGAGCTGTTACTTGTGTTCAAACTGAAGGAGGATTGACAAAATATTTTCCTATTTCTGTTGGTTTACATCAGGGATCGACTTTAAGCCCATATCTTTTTGCTTTAATTATGGATGGTCTTACTGGACATCTACAAGAGGATGTACCTTGGTGTATGCTTTTTGCTGATGATATTCTTCTCGTGGATAAAACGAGAGAAAAAGCCCAGGAAAAACTTGAATTATGGAGGTCTACATTGGAGTCTAAAGGCCTTCGTTTAAGTAGAACTAAAACTGAATA